TGATTATAAGATATTAAACCAATTTAGGTTGTTCATGATTGATCGCTCAAATATTGAGGGCCAATAGATAGCTTACTCACAATTTCATACTTATAATATCAAAGTTACAAAGTTAATTGTCCAATCAACTTGAAAGAAAAAATATTTTTTGATATTGAATTCTAAAAAGTTCTAAATAAGTCATTGAACTTGAAAAATATATATGATACAATTAAATCATTTTTTACATTGTATAGAAGGTTAATTAACAACATGCTATAGTTGACTAGGATGTCACACTATATTTTTGAACTACAACTCATTTATATATTGCTAATTTGGATGCCAAACCACTACTACTACAATATGACAAAATCATTAGTTATATCTAATTGTCAAGTCAATCCATGAATTATTATCCTAATTTTTTTTTTTTTTGAAAGCAACCGCAAAGCGGGAATATATTAACTGAGCAAAATAGAGATAGAGTCAGAAGGGATCGAGTCCCAATACATAATCTGAAGAGAAGCTGACAGCTAAAGAATGAGCTAACATTAATAGAATGGGTTAACATTAATAATTTATTTTGAAATTTCAAACTATTAAATAACACACTGGTCATTTTGTAAAATTTTCCCTAATTCTCTCCATGAGTCTTCATATATATGTTGTCAGCCAATTATATATATAGTATCCTTAACATATTTTCATATATTTTAATAAATATAAAAATAAAATAAAATAAATAAGATAACGGTGTCATATATAATTACATGATTTTTAAATATTAACTAAAATCTTGAACTTGAGAAACAAAATTATTTTATATGCTAACATAACGTAATAAAAAATATATAATATAATAATAATAATAATAATAATAATAATAATAATAATAATAAGCTAACATAAAATATATATCTTTAAATAATTAGAATTAAAATGACAAAATTTATAAAATTCAAGATTATCTTACGTTACCTAACAAAATGAAGGGAATCACATTTCCTTCAAAATCCTATGCGGAGGGAATCACATTCCCTTCAAAATCCTCAAGAAAGCAACCTGTTACTTCCAAGTTTCTCTCTTCCAATCTTCCAATTGGTTGGCGCTTCTTCAAGGTTATGAGGCGGGGGTTCCATACCAGACTCGTATGTATCCTATTTCATTCTTTTTCCTAGGATCTGCTCTTTATGTGATGCTTTGTTTTTTGTTTTATAATTTTTTCCACTTAATTGCTGCATAGAACCTGCCGCCCATTATGTGTAAGAAGCTTGTTGAAAAAAAGCCCAAAGAAATGGTGTTAACAGGCCAAAATGGGAGCTTCAAAGTTAAAATCCAAGAATGCAAAGATCGAAGGCTCTGTTTCACAAAGGGGTGGGATGATTTTGTGGGACGAAATGGCATATCTCTTGGAGATTTTGCCGTGTTTGAACACATGGGCAGTTTTCATTTCAGTGTCATTCTGTTTGACCAAACTTGTTGCCAGAAAGATCTCCATCTCAACCCAGAAACCACCAGCAATGACACTGAAGGTGGGTTACCATTCTCTGCATACCTCTAACATTTGAACACATTTTCACAGCAAACCACAATTGACCCCAACTGAGTTGGTGCTGATTACTGGTGTTTGTTGTAGGAGGAAAGAATTTGTGTAGCGGGCAAGAAAATTCTAGTTGCTTTACAACCACCATCAAAGCATACAATGTACGCAGAAGGGCTCCTTACATGGTGAGGCTGTTATTGTTTGATCACTAATTTTTCCAAACATTTTTATGATATTAGTACTAAGTTGTGTTAGTGTGAACTTCAATTTGCAGTACATTCCATGGAAGTTTTGTACATCAAACAATCTTTTGATGAGCACAAGCATCACTCTTTTAGAGGACCCTGTGGTAAACTCTGGCCAGCCAAACTTAGAACATATATATATGGTAAGACATCGGGAGACTATGCATGCATTTATGATGGCTGGAAAGAATTTGCCACGCACTATGATCTTAAAGCGCTTCGTTCCTCGCCCAACTTCTTACTCTTTGATGGTGGATGTGAAGATCATTCCGGCCTGTTAATTAACTTCCTTTTAGCACTAATCTAAGATGACCTCTTTTTTTTGTCCTTATTGAATCATCTTGGCAAATGCAGCATGTGGTTTTTGGATCATATCGGCAAACATGGTAGGAAGCTGCCAGCTTCCTTTCTACTGATATGGTAATCTTGGGCAAAATGCAGCAATCTTGTTCGCATTTCTTGAGGCTGCTACTTTAATGGCTGGTTAAACATCCCAAATTTGTGTATCACTGCTACTTTAATGGCTGGTTATAATTTCAGTTTCTACCTTAGCTTGTTTGTCACTGTCACTAGATAAGGTCATCTTTAATGTCATGATGCTTGGATATGATATATACTTTTACCTCCAAAAGTTTTTTGCTATGTTGGAATAGCTAGATTCCTTTTATCATCCATATGAATATTCATTATATTATATCCAAAAGCTAATTACTAATGCTAAATTCATCATTATAACTCATTCAAAGCTTTAACTAAAATGAATTACTTGGAAACCGCCAAATAGTTAACCAAATGTTGACTAATCAAGTAATCATTAACAATAAAAAATAAAATTATTTTTTTCCCTTTCAGGGAAATCGTGTTGTAAAAATATACTCACAAAAATTAATTACAAAAATATTTTTCGAATGAGTTTGTCACTTTTGACTTTGGTTTCATATATGATTTGAGATTTGCAAAATTATGAAAATTGCTAATATAGATGCATGAGTTTCTTTAATTTTTTGCCTTTTGTTTTTGTGATAAGAATTTCATTAAAATATATCAGAATTTATGACAAAAAATATAATCACACTTTTTACAAGAGCATGTGTCACATACTCACATGAATAAATATTTTTTATTTATAAGTTTAATTTAAATTAACTACTCGTAAATTATATGATAATATCTAAGAAAATTTTTGCTAAATCCCACATTAAAAGTGCCACAATTAAAAACAAACAAAATGGTACTATTTTTTGTAATGGGGGCACCAATTCCAATGTTAAGATGTGTTTGAAAATCATGAAAACGACTTCTGGAATCAGTCGTTTTCTAAAAAACATTTTCATTTCTCGTGTTTTGTTTCATTCTATAAAATTGTCTTTGTGTTTTTTGGTTTTATTTTTGAAAAATAAACAGAATTGTATAATTTAAATTTTAATTATTGTTAACTAAAAAAGATTTGACAACAACTATGTTTTGCCCAACTATTTTTTTCAAATAACAAACAAAATATTTTTTTTAAAAGAGTATTGGTTTTTTACGAAAACCAGTACAAACTAGACTGGTTTTCGTCGGAAACCAGATAGGTTTATGGCAAAACCATTGATTTTTCTACAAAACCAATATGTTTTGTACTAGTTTCTGACGAAAACCTGTCTGATTTCGATAGAAACCAGTTAAGGTACAAAGCGAAGGATGGCGGAACAAAGTCGATGAAGCCTTCTCGGAAGAAGCTAGAAAGAAGAAGCAGTTAGGATCCATAAAATGACTTTCCTGAAAAAAAAACAAAGGGGAAATCATTTTACAAGAAAATCAAGTTATTTTTTCTTTGATCAAAAATCATTTGTTGTTGACTTTAATTTTTCACCATTTCCCACTAAAAAAATAATTTTTCAACAATTATTTTCCAAATTTCCAAAGATAATCTAAATATACTACCAAATTCGCAGAGCAAAAGTGGTAATAAGTATCTTAAAAAACAAACAATTGAGTCCATTGAACTTAAAAAACAAATAATTGAGTCCCTAAACTAATCAATTCCATTCAATTAGTCCAATTTACAGGTTTTTCAGGTTATTATCAGGTCACCCCATATTTAAAATTTTTATTTAAAAATTATTATTAATAATAATTATTTAAAATTTTTTAAAAATACCCCTCTTTTCTTTCTTGTCCGACGAATTATCTCAGCTACCATGTTTTCCGGCGTTCAAGTCCTTAATTATCCCAGCATCCCCGTGTATTGATTAATCCGATCCCCTATTACATAGCTGGAGAATAAAGCGAGCAAAAGTGTATCAACAAATCCATCTGCAATAGTGTCTAAAACTCAAAGCTCTATTTATGCAGACCGCCGAGAGAGCCGCAGAGTTTGGGCGACGGTGGATTCATTGTAGTATAGCAGAATGGATTCATGTATCAAAATCAAACCAATAAACAACCAACCTTGCACTGTTATATACAAATAGATACTTGGAAATGGGGAAAAACAGTAAACAGAAAAGGGAACACGACATGGGAGGATAGGGTTTTCATTTCTGCAATTCTGTGCGTATGGGTCCGATTTGAAAAGTCAAAATACGACTTTGTTCTTGTCTGTTCATCAAATTATAAATTTTTGTTTGAAATTCTCTTGAAGCATTATTTATATATTGTTTGGTTGTTTGTGGTTAGAATCAGTTGATTTGGAGCCATCATAATCAAATTCGAGCTTGTCGCCGCCAAAATTGCAATCCACGACTTTTCCGGTGATCTGAATTTGCAGCAGATCCGGCCGAAGGATGGGGGAGAAAGAAAAGTAATACAAAAAGACTAAAATACCCTTATTTATTTAAAAAAATATGGGGTGACCTGTTAGTAATTTGAAAAACTTGTAAATTGGACTAATTGAATGAAATTGGTTAGTTTATGAACCCAATTGTTATTTTTTTAAGTTCAATGACCTAATTACATTATCGTGTGCAGTTCGATGGCCTATTTGACCCTTATTCCAAAATTAAATAGGCTGAGATGTTATTACCCAAATAAAATAAAATGCGGGCAAGATAAAATACTAATGTCAGCAAGACTCCAACGCGCCCTTTCACTTGCGTGTATCACGCGCAAGTGAAAGGGCGCGTGATACACGCGCAAGTGCGGGCAAGATAAAATACTAATGTCAGCAAGACTCCAACGCGCCCTTTCACTTGCGTGTATCACGCTCCTTAGGCACCTTCTTTCTCCCTGAGCATTTTGGTAATTTTATGCTGGCACACGGGGAGCATTTTCCTCCTGTGAATATAATGCGAATTTCATCAAAATTTCCCTTCTTCTTTTGTCCTTCAACGAGTCGTTTTCAGTAAAAAATTTCCCCCTTTTTCTCAGCTTCTTCTGAACTTTTTCACAATTCGCGTCCCGATTTCGATCGAGGAAAATGCGGTTAAGGAAAGCTTCCGAGCTTTGATGGGAGGTAGGGCTTTGGATTTTACTTGAATTTTGAAATACGGGAGAACACAGGCTTTTGGTGCGGAGATGTCGAATGGAAGGAAACCTCACTTCCTCCATGGCTTTAATCCTTCGATCAGCTCTGAGAAATTGGTATATCTGTGTTTCTCTTTCTTAATTTCTTACTTGCTTTCCCCTCATTGTGTGAATTAGTTGCTGCATTTTTCTCTATGTGCATTCTCGAATTAGCTGATCTGTTGTAAACTGCTGCGGATTTGGATTTGGATTTGGAGTTCTGTTGTAGTTCAAAGTACATATCCTCAGTCAAGCAGGAACTGTTTGTTTATAAAATTTGGAGTGCAAAATGAGGTTGACTGTTGGCATTCTAACATCTAATGATTACTGTTCTTTAAACATTATCTAATAATTGACAATAAATATTCTTCACTTTGAGTTGTATTTGTTGGGAGGGGATGGGATTTGTCAATAGATAGTAATTTGCTTGCTCCCTCATGGTTCATTGAGCATTGTTGGCCATTTTGAGTTAAATAACACTTTTGCTTTGATTAAGTTCTGTATTTTGATAAGTTTTTGACTCATCAATGCTACAGAAAATTCCATCTAAATTTGCCAAACATATGGATGGAGTGACATCTGGGATGGCATCTTTGGTAGGTCCCAGTGGAAACACATGGTATGTGGGTGTAAGTCAGCTTGATGGTGGCTTATTCTTTCATGATGGATGGACAGTATTTGTTAAGGATCACTGTTTGGAGTATGGGGATTCCTTGGTTTTTAGATATGATGGTGATTTGGATTTCCATGTCCAAGTTTTTGATGAGGGTTCATGTGAGAAAGAAGCTGCATTTTGTGCTGATTGCAGTCAAGATGTAACCAACTTTGAAAATCATGCAATAAAGAAAAGAGATAGGAAGAGCTTAGGTTTATTAGACTGCATTGCCGAAGGTGTCCCAAAGAGAATGAGAAGCACTGAAATCCATTCTGAATGTCCAACTAGTGGCCAGGAGAATCCGGTCACATCTAGCAAGGAGGATTACGTGTGTGGAGGAGAACTGGTTTGCTTGAGAGAAATGGAGATAGATGGAAATCCATTGAAAGACTTTGTAACTATTGCCGTACCATCTCAAGGAAAGTGTGTGTATGAGAACTCAGGTAATGGGTTTAGTTATTATTTTCATTCCTTTAACAAACTTAGGACTATTAATTCCTTTGATGATTCTCACTCCTGTATTTGAAGTAGATGCAACCATTAGTAGTTGGACAAATGATGAAGATGTATGGTTGTCTACACAAGAAGCAGAGAGAGCAGCAAGATCCTTCACATCAAGTTTCCCTAACTTTACAAAAGTCATGAAAAGGTTTAATGTCAGTGGTTCATTCACCTTGGTGAGTAATTGATTTTTCCATGCTCTTGCTGCTTTGCAACTTGCATGAAATGCCAAAGCTATCTTTATTTATTTATTTACACGTGTATGAATAATATAAAGGCTATTTATGGATCTTGCAAATTTCTTAAGTAGTTGCTCACTTCATCGACGGCTTTTACTTCTAGGGTTTGCTTCAGGGACTCAGCACTAATTAATGCCTTAATGACTTTTCTTACCTTTCTTAGCACCAGTTCAAGAGAGCTAGTTTAGAAATTTCCTGTTTCTTTTCACTTGCCCAAGAAACATATTATTGTCTTGATGTTTTGCTAGGGAGTTGTACTGAAATTTTCTCAGATAACTATACTTCTCTCACCACATGTCCTTTTTCTCTTTTCCACACTTAGAATGTCCCTTATCAATTTGCAACGGAACATCTACCCAAATGCAAAGTGAAGATTATGCTTCGTAATTTAAAAGGACAGAGTTGGGTAGTTAATTCCATCCCAACAACACGAGTACAAACATCACATACTTTTTGTGGAGGGTGGTTGGCATTTGTTCGTGACAATAACCTTGATTTAGGAGATATTTGCATCTTTGAACTTGTTCACAAGGGTGAATTGCGTGTCCGGATTCTCAGGGTGGAGAAGGAAGGGGTGAACGACCATAGTAGTGTCACTGCTCATAAGGTAATACTAAAGAGTGTACTGCTAAGTCCAATAAAATTTCTTCTTCTATGTTAAAGAAAGTTAGCTTGAAATTTTATGACATGTATTTGCAGCCTGTAGCAAATGTAAAAGGAAAACACAGAAGTACATTGAAGAGCTCATTCTTACATACTCAATTGAATGCTACCGGTGGACAATCAGGTGATTATTTGATAAATCAACTGATATTTCTTGCCAAAATTTTCATACAGCTTTCTTCTGTTGAATCACCTCTTTCTGCAAATTTGGCAGTTACTCGAAAATGCACCAGTTCTCAAGACAAACTAGGTTCTTCCACTAAGGGCTGTATGTCATTAAAGTCAGCACCTGAAGAAAAAATAGCTGCTCAAGCTTTCATTTCTAGCTTTCCGCATTTTGTGAGAGTCATGAAGAAGTTCAATATTAGTGGCTCATACACCTTGGTAAACTAATTTTTTATTATGTCTTTCTTTAAACTTTTTTTTTCCCCCATTAATCTGCTGCATTTTGTTTTGCAGAAAGTCCCATATCAGTTCTCTATGGAGCATCTACCAAACTGCAGAACACAAATTATCCTCCGTAATTTAAAAGGACAAAGCTGGACAGTAAATTCTGTCCCGACAACTAGGGTGCAAACACTGCATACATTCTGTGGAGGATGGATGGCCTTTGTTCGAGATAATGACATCCAAATGGGAGATATCTGCATTTTTGAGTTGGTTGGGAAGTGTGAAATGCGTGTACATATTTGTGCAATTGGGAAAAAAGGTTTGGATTACCAAAATGGGAGCATTTGACATGGTTGCTTTGTCCTCTACAAACAAGAGACCTCAAGATAATTTAGTAAGGAGCAACTTTTAAGCATTTCATTTTTATCTTATTATTGTGGCATCTACAATAAGTCAGTAACTACATCCACAATTCAACTATGCATCCATGATTTCTCTTTAACCTTCTCTCAAATATTAGGAAATTTAGAAAGCATACTCTCCTTATATAGCTGCTTAATTACAAAAAGCGAAACAGAATTTGCTTTAGGAGTAAATACTTTATTTCTAGTTGTAAGGCTTGTGTTGATCCTTGTGATAGATATGCAGACTGGTCTTCATTTTGCAAAAGGTTAACTTATGGATTTCTTTGTGATGGATATGCAGGCTGGTCTTCATTTTGCAAAAGGTTAACAACTTATGGATGTCCTGGTGATGGATATGCAGGATTGCATGGTCTCCAACTCGACATTTTGTAAAGGTGAAAACTGGGGCCACATGTGCTGGACGTTATGCGGGAAAATGCGCATGGAAGATGACTACGACATCTGAATTTTGTTGTTTTTGCTGACCTATGTGGTTGAAACTTTACATACGGTTAATGTGTAAAACTATGTATGTCTGGGTCACTTTTGTAAGTATACATTATGTGTACTGTGTAGTGTAATTATTGCCGGAGATTGTGAGTCCAGCTCTGTACAGAAGAAAAAATTCGCAATTATTTCAAGGACAAAACATGACATGAAAAGTCCCAAAAAAAAAAAACAAAAAAAATCTTTCAAATCAGTAATAAGTATTTTGTCAAAGCTACAGGGCAAAATTTGCCTATGTAAATTCATCTCTGTTCTGTTACATGGAATTTTTGGAGAATAGGAAATAAAATCGGGTTTCAAATATTCTTCTACAAAAGTTTAGCATAGAAAAATAAAAGCTGATAACTTATCCGCACTGAACTGAATTTGTTCAACAATGTCCTCAATTCCTCAGTTGGAAGGCCTTTGGCAAGCGGAAAATAACTGCCAGCTGATAAAAGCAATGCCCAACGAGGTGAATAATTCAAAGCCAACAACCTTTGAAAATTGCCACCCCAGGCCTCGTTTCAGATAGCTGCAAAGAGCCAAAGACCATATTGTGGCTAGTCAAAACATCTGATTATAATATACAGAACCTCCCTCTCTTTTAGTGGCAACATTTATGAATGGACTATAATATATTAATATTACATTAAATCTAAGGAGTAGTTGAACATCTGACCTAGTTATTGACGGCATTGTTGCCACGATCCCGGCAAGTGTATATATAATAGGAATCAATGTCTTGGGTTTGTTTTTCCGCAGCCACATCAGAGACCCCAATGCAGCTAGTGATATGCTAAATACCTGAAGAAATTAAATATAGTATTAGCCAAATATAGTTTAGCATCAGGATTAGAGAATTGATAGGTAAAGCATTATCCAGTCTTTACCTGAAAGGAACTGCTAAATGTAGTAAAAGTTTAATCATGCAATGTTGATATTCAATATATATGTTTTTTCTTTTTCTATTTTTTAATTGGGGAAATGTAAGAATTTGATATTTACCAAATTGGCATTTGCTTCAATGCCTTGTAGGATGTACTCCCAAGTGAACTCCAATCCTCTAGCACCCACCCAGAGGGGTGCCAACCTGTGAAGAACGGAATCAGCAAAAGCCCAGCCTGCCAAAATAAACATTATACATGAAAATAAGATAATCATATCAGCATTTGGTACAACCCTCAATTCTGGTCAAGCTTGATGGTTTATTTTATGTTCACAAAATGAGACTGAAGGGATGGAACTGATCCTATGACTAACGGTGCCAGAGCTATCAAGTGGAGGATGCAATTAGAGGGTAAACTACTGGAGTGTTCTTGAAGAGGTTAAATTCGAGGACAGAGAACAAATGATCCCATTTGAAGCCACAATTAGCAGCAGCATAAATGAGGTTACAGTACAATCTGCTTGTCAGTATATGCTTCATGGAATACCTCGGCATAGCTCTTGGCTTTGTACTTATAAGGACTGAAGGATAGCATGGTCAAACACCCATGGCAAAAGAGGTGGGTCACTAGGGTATTATTGGGAATGATGAGTGTTGTAGGTGTCACATGGCTCAACAATGATAAGAAATGCCTAAACTAGATAAACTCTATAAATCTTAGCAGTTAATAACCAGGTTTAGTGGTCGTGAGTGAAATCAATTGCCAAAAGAAAGGCAGTTGTGTAAGAATGCATCCTAGTTCTTAAAGAACAGCTCAAAGATTACTGACCAAGTCCAACAGCTTGAAACTTGTGATTCTGAGAAATATTCCTGTGCGTCAATTGTGTCAATGCAAAATAAAGTCCCGCAACATCTATAAACCCAATTAAAGCTTTCAACATTTCCTGAGAAAGAAAGAAACATATCTTACAATCTCTATATGCACAGCTAAGCAAAGGATAATGGAAATCTAAAAGGAACCAGATGAGAGCAGTAACTTTTGGTAGGAGAAAATATCATAGGTAACATCAATTACTCAAATCACTCTTATCTGTCGGCTTGAATGTTTTGAAATTCAGTTTGTTTATGAATTTAGTTATCTGTCCCTACTCTCTAATTTTCAATTTCCGAACAACCATGGTTTAAATATTTCACATCCAGTTTCAGTTCGTTGTATACTTAATTCTGAGAGAGACTATCAAGCAACAAGACTTATAAAGACCTAATAGCACAACCAAGTCATGCAAACATGTAGAAGTTTCAAATCAACCCTAATTTTCTTTAAGCAGAGATGCACTCTCAACGCAACAAACACAAACTGCAATCCTATTGCACAAGAAAACTCTGGAAAATAGTAAGATGTTTAGCTCTATATAAATTATATTTGAACTTTGCTCTACTCAAGACCAGTTCGAAATGAATAACAATGATCATATTAATGTTGTGGTGGTGAATATGATGAAGATCCCAACACGAGCAGGTAAAGAGATAAAATAAATACCTGGTATGGATCAAAACTATCACTTTCTGATACATTAAGAAATGTTGCAAGGCACACAAGCTGCATAACAACAAATAATATGAATGTTATTTTCTGTAGAACATAACGGAAAAATAAAAATAAGAAACAAAAATTCAAAATTGAAGGTGATACTCCATGTTATTTAGATGTGAGACAATTTCATGTCAGTTTCTCCATTTGTTAATTAGAAGTCTTTCCCACAAAGAAAAAGGGTTGGACAATCAATTAAAATTCATGCAATCAAACTTGCAATACTTACCTTCACCAATGCTGTTCCAAGGTAGACAACAGCAGCTTTTATTGAAGTACCAATAGTATCATACTCAGACCTGCAAAAGTATACCAAACACCATTTACTGATTTCAAAGATCTCCTACGATCCAAAATATAGGCAGTTCCATATTTATTCCACTATCAATAATCAAAATGGCAATAGGCCAGCGCAAATCCCAGCCAGACCAAGGGGTCATTTCTCCATCAGAATAACCAGTCATATCTCAACCCGGAGATCCTAAATTTTAGTGTTACAATAAGCATTTTCAATTCCATACACAACATTCTAAAAAAAAAAACTCAACTAGATTAATATTTCCCAGAACTGCTTCTCTGGAGTAGACAACTAATTCATGAACTATGTTTTTAGCATATAATTATCTAAAAAATACGCTACTATTAATATTGTACTAGATCGCAGCTGAAAAGCAAATCGAACAGCTAGATTCCGAAACTATACAGAGCTCAGATAGAAAAATTAAGCATAGAGGAGTGTAGATAGTGAAATTTGTACCAAACTAGAGTTCGAACAAGAAGATCGAATGAGAAGTATTTGAAATGAGAAATACAGCTATTGAGCATGGAGGATACGAAAATTGGAGGGGGGAAAAGAGAGAGAGAAAACTCACAACGGAGTAGCCGAGTAATATACAAGGTGTGGACCGTAAGTCAGTATTGCACAGTTGAAGAAGTGGAAAATCGTCATCTTCTTCCTTCGCCTTCTTCTCTGTTGCAGAGTTACAGTCTCCGGCGGTGAGAAGTTCAGAGAACACACTGACTTTGGTAAAGGCCAACCTTCCCTTTGGATTGGACTCTCAAAGTCTGGAGACACTTTATTGGGCTAATGGGCTTTCATCAAGAATATTGATTTTCAGTTATCAGGCCCAACTAACACACGATAGAGTTCGGCCCAATTACTTTTCTTTTTCTTGGCAAATTATCAGACGTTATGCCATGGAACCGTGTTCACCATTCATGGTGAACACGGTTCTAACGGTGTTAGTACACCGTTATCTTTTTTTTTTTTTTTTTTTTTTTTTTTTTTAATTGCGTGACTTTTCTTCTTTATTTTCACATTTTGCGGTTTCACTTTAATTTGAGGCGAACAAAAATTTCGGACATTCATAAATTATGAATTCATGCCTGCACATTCACTTTGGAACCATGCCTACACATTCCCGTCCGAAATCACGGACATTCATAAATTATGAATCCATGGCCGTACATTCACTTTGGAACCATGCCTACACATTCACTTTGGAACCATGAGATTATGAATTTTCTGTTATAAGATTATGAATTTTCTGTTATGAGATTATGAATTTTCAGTTATAAGATTATGAATTTTCTATTATGCGATTATGAATTTTCTGTTATGAGATTATGAATTTTCATTACATTCATAATTTCGGACATTCATAAATTATGAATTCATGCCTGCACATCCACTTTGGAACCATGCCTACATATTCCCGTCCGAAATCACGGACATTCATAAATTATGAATCCATGCCTGCACATTCACTTTGGAACCATGCCTACACATTCACTTTGGAACCATGAGATTATGAATTTTCTGTTATAAGATTATGAATTTTCAGTTGTGAGATTATGAATTTTCTGTTATGCGATTATGAATTTTCTGTTATGAGATTATGAATTTTCATAAAATTCATAATCTCATAACAGAAAAATCATAATTTGATCAAACGACGCGCCGTTAACTCCACATTCGCGATTTTTTTTTTTGGCCTAAAAACGACGTCGTTTTGCCTTGTGTTCACCATTCTCGGTGAACACGATTCCATGGCATAATTTGCGGCAAATTATGCCCTGGACCCGTGTCCACATTGAATTGTGGACACGGGCCCAAAACTACGTCGTTTTTTTAAAAAAACGTGTCATTTAGTTAAAAATAAAAAATAAAAAAATCGCGCGCGTTTTGCCGTTAACGGCGTTATTTTTTTTTGGATTATGAATGTACAGTTATGCTGTTATGAATGTACAGTTATACAATTATGAAATTATGAACACAGAGCTCTAACATTATGAACTTACAATTATGAACATATATAGTGATAAAATTATTACCATGGAGCTTTAAAATTGTGAATATAGAGCTTCGAAGATTATGAATGTACAGTTATGGAGTTATGAATGTACAGTTATAGAGTTATGAATCTACAGTTATGGAGTTATGAATCTACAGTTATGGAATTATGAATGTACAGTTATTGATCGAATTATGAACAAAGAGCTCTAACATTATGAACTTACAATTATGAACATATAGTGATAAAATTATGAACATAGAGCTCTAAAATTGTGAACATAGAGCTTCGAAAATTATGAATGTACAATTATGGAGTTATGAATGTACAGTTATGGAGTTATGAATGTACAGTTATGGAGTTATGAATGTACAGTTATAGTGTTATGAACGTACAGTTATGGAGT